AACGGTAACTCTATAAAAAAAAAAATTGTCGTAGGTTAAAAAAAAATCCCTGTATGATGCCACCCTTTAAAATTAAAATAAGGGTGTGAAAAATAGTTTACATCACTTTCTGAGACCTACTTAATATACACAACAAATTTCATGAAAATCGGTCCAGCCGTTTCGGAGGAGTTTGGTAACAAACATTGTGMCACGAGATTTTTATATATTAGATGATATATATATATTTATATACCTATAAAATATTTAATTAAAACATTTCATAGATAACAATGAATTTATATATGAGCATTAATTTGGATAAAGTCAAGAATAATTTTGAATTAATTAAATAAATATTAATATGATTGCATTAATTATGATTACATTTAGGTACGTTTATCATTTATTAATAAATGCTTAAMAATTATTAATAAATTGTACGATAATTAAAATTTAATTTGAATGCGTTTTAAATTTATTGGCTAGTTSTAACTATGTTGACAAAAATAATAATACCTACACTATTTTACCGAATCGTATTTAGTATGAATATTAGCCAACAGAATCAATCACCGACCTATAGTCTAATAAATATAATTTTGAAAACAGCTTATGCTTCGGCAGAATCGATAAATCTTCTATATTCGTACAACGTACATAGTCCTGATATTTTCCATTAGAGATGAAAATGTTTTTCGGCAATATTTTGAGTCTTTGTGTCGTTTTTATCTGTCACATTTTATCTCCATGAATCAAATCAGATTATCTCCAAATTAATAAAATAATCTTTTCTCGTATACTTATGTTCTCGAACAACGTATTAATATGTACGTATATACTATATATATTATATTATGTATTTGCATATAGCTTATTAGTTTTCAGTTGCATAAATACGATTTTTTATGTCCTGTAACGGCTGTAACATAATACCACTTGCACATTCGTCGTCGAAAACTGATTTGTAAATGACCAAAATCACGTAATACAACTAAATATAATAATATATTGGTACGTATCAGGATTAATCGTATAAAGCATGCTAAGCAATATTAACATCAAGTTTTATTTGTGAGAACAAAATCTTCTGAATTATTGAAATTCCATATGAAAAGTTGAAAATCGACAAGATTTTATTTTATACTTATCATGACTTACAAATATCTTAAGAGTAAATGTAATTTCATGATGCATTGGTCCACGCAACAGACAAAATATTTGTTTTCAGCATAATATAATACGGTGTATACGCTACAAAGCAGAAATATTTTTAGTATTAGACAAATTTATATGTATATCCAAACATATAATCGTAGACTATGTGATTTATGTTTTATAATAMTCACTCAAATAATTTTCATCAAAGTGTCAAATACCAGAAAAAAAAATGTATTTAAGTATTCACACGTATTTCTATATTGAAATAAATAAAATAAAAATATTTTTTCATTATTAATGATTGGAATAATGTCTTGTGTTCAAAAATGTATGAGTACCTACGCTAAAATTCTAGTGTTATATATGATAATGTATATAATATGGCAGCAATTGTTTTAATTTTATTTCAGTGCACTAAACAAGAAACAAGAAATATTAAAATAATGAAAATTGATGAAAATGAAACATTGCAGTTCTATTTATAATATTATAATACAAAAACATAAAATATAATTTTACATTTTTATTACGTTCGTCATAATTTATTATTTTACAATATACCATAAAATATAACAGTTAATATAATTGCATTGAGTTCTACAACGATTACCGATCATATAAAATATTTACACAAGAACAAAGGCTATAAAATATAAAAAAATAGCTCTTCACCGGAAGTATAACATGAACGAAATTATTTTTTTTAAGATTAAGTCATTCATAAGCCGTTGACACATGATGTAGTAATATGCCATATTAAATAACACAATATGTGCCTACGTTTTCTGGGCAGATCCTTGTTAATATTGCAATTTGTAACACAGTCGTATTCCAACTCGGGCGCTTGTCCTTGGTCACAACATGCTCATATTTGTCTTAATTTATCACAAGTTTATAATGTGTTATTAATTTTTAAAGAGTTTACACCACATATAAAAAATATAATCATTTAAGTTAATGATAAGATTATAGGTAGGTAATCTAGTGGATTAGGAAAATAATAATAAAGTAATTAATTTAGAGCACAAACAAAACAAAATAAACATAATTTACATAAATATCGAAACATTTAAACTAAAATTACATTTTATGACTGTGTTGGAAATCATAAACGCACCTACATTATATGAATATTTGAGATATAATACTAGTTTACAGTTTATATCATGTACAATGCCAATGAAAACCACATGTTTAATATTATTAGTATACTGTTATTTTCRACGTTTTAAACTTAAGTGAAACCTAGTTGATATTTCATTCATAAATCATAATATGCAATAATCTATTTTGTTATTGTATTTAAAAAGAACATATATTTCAATAATAACTTAAATTCTTAAAATAATTTAAACACTCTAACACAAATATTGGTGAATATAATAATATCTTTCCTATTTAATGTAATAAATCTTAGACAAATTATAATAACAATATAGCATACCTAAATAACATACCTACTATTCGATAATGATGATTTTTTATAAATTCAATGTTTACACAAAAAAAAAAGTAAAGACCAATTTCAGATAAAAATACTTGCACTATACCTATAGATACTACCTAAAAGAGTTTGCATATTTATAACTCTCAAAATAAGTTTTTACTTTCACTAATATAGATCAATAGTTAGCATTAATATAGGTACACTATAAAATAATTCCATCATTAATTTAACAGATTTCACATTTCCATCAATATTTGGCAAGATCACCTACTAGTTTGTAATTTAATAATGTTAATAAAATGTAAAATATTTTAAACAAACATATACTACCTTTTTATAATAGTATATTTTAATTTTATATACAACTAATATTATATCATTTTAATCAGTACATAATTAATCCTTAGTAACAAAACTTTTAGTCCTAGATTTAATTACACCGATTATCCACCAACATCTAATTGACGCTATAGCATTTTATATAATAAAAAAATATAGGTTTTTGTTAAAAGCACATATTATCATCAGATAATTTTGAGAAAATAAAACGTGTTTATAACAAAAGCTTTTCCGTTATAATAAAATAGGACTGGTATAAGTATTATATGTCACTCTTACCAGTATCCGATTACATTCATAGTTTAATGTTATTGAAGATTAATAGTTCTATTAAATACATATGAATGGTGTACATGCGTACTCTTACGTTTAAGCGAATTATACATCGAAGCTCAAGTGTCACTGAATTAATTCTAGTAGGAAAATGGCATTGGTAAGCATAATATATATACATATGAATTATGGGTGTATTATAATATTTTAACAACGGTGTTACAAATAGACAATAATACTATTTCCAATTGGTACAATTAGTCGATAAGTTAATAAATKATTAGGGTTCAAAGTACAATATTGTAATATTTAATTAATTGTTATTTATTTTGTTACCTTGGATTCAGTGATATCAAAATTATCACTATCTCTTGGTATTTAAAATTATTGGAAAGATAGTGAAAACCACCAATACTCTGAGGAGCTGTATCTCACATACCAATTAACGAAAAATAAAAGTGTTAACATCTAAATTCATGAAAAAAATGATTTTATTAATTCATGATATTTTCATTATATGTTACCATTTGAAAATCAAAAGTGGCTAGTGTTTTCACCAATAAATATAAGGGTGAAAAAAATTAAAATGTTATGCGGTTTTAGAAAAATATAAACCTAAAAGTTTAAAAAAAAAATTCAAAAAAGTTAATACTTTTCGAGATAATAAGTTTACTCACTTAAATGGATCACTCTGTATATTATTTTTTCATCACAAATGGTTTATTTATAGGTAAAATTGCTGGGGATTTTTTTTATTGTATTATTATTATTAGTGAAAGGTCCATTGTGTCCCACCGTTCCACGTCGTCGGTTCGTTATTAGCTCGTAATCCGTTTTGCCGTTCACCCTCGGTGGTGAACCTTGGTAAACATGCGGGAAAACGGACATCACCCGTGGGATTCCCACGTTATTCATAATGGGTAAAAACTACGACAGACGTTGCCGAAAATCGTCCATGCCTCCACGCAACCAGGAAAAAAATGGTCGTCACGTTGTGCACGTCACTGTTTCTTCGTAAAATGGATACGATTGTAGGACCATAGGTATGTCCATATTCCAATACATAAATATACCTACTTTACCTGCACCCGTCATTCAAGTTATCTCAATAACTGTGACTCTGGGAGACTGCAGTAGTGCAGTACTAAATACATATATTTATAGAATRTATACTTTTTTTAGAGGGTCGAATTAGAATAACACATTAAAAAAAACTTGAYCGGACTAGCATGTAAATATGGTGCTGGATAGGTAATAAAACATTACTTATGATTACAATAATGGTTAAAGTCAATAAGCAACGTGTGGAAACGACAATACGCCGTGTTCAAGTGATGATAATATCATATTACAAACTGTATATTACAAACAGCTCGAAACGGAATTTGCACCTACTAGCGTTTGGACTCTACGCGTACAATAGTAATATCCTAAGTATCTCGAATACCTATATGGCTACATAWTATTATTATTATTATTAAAATAGACCTCATATATCGCTAGTGTATACCGTTCCGATTTCCCGAAACTACATCTTCACCCGATCACTACCACAATATGTTATGATCAAGCAATATGCAAAACAGTACAATGCCGCGGTCCTGTCACGCCGCTTTCGGGGTCCACGCCGACGCGCAGTCAATCGTTATATAGAGACTTATAATTTTATGATTTGGTAATATATTCTCAAAAGTCACATCCGTCGGGAGAATGTCCACGAGGTCAAAAGTGTCATATATATACATATCTCGTGACAATCATACTTATTAGGTTTCGCCATGCGTTATCAGTGCACACTCACTTGCGGCGCAAAAAACCGGCAAAATTCGGTCCAACGGATAACGGATTAATCAGAAATTTTCCGCAGCAGTGACCAATGGATGACTAGACCTTTTAAAATATACCTTTATAAACATTTGCGACACGACGCGTTCAACGATTAATTAACGAAAACCGAATAAACGATGTTAAAAACATACGCACACTCTTCCGATCAGGTCTGACAGGCAGACCGACAGACAACGACGTCAGAACAACGACTGCGGTTGCCGGCCGCCGGTTGCTTGCCTCCCGTCCGAGACGACTCGCAGAAACGACGCGCGCACGCGATCATCTGCGTAAAAAATCTCATTCCGCGAAACCCGTTGCGCGACCGCCGCGATACCTTTTTTTATGTTTCTGTATATTTTTACTAACACTTGACGACGCATTCCTGTTTACTGCTCCAAATAAACTTAATTGATAGCAATAATGTTATTAGATCGTTTCTTTATCATTATTGTTATTATCATTATCATCGTCATCGAAGGATATGCATTTGTCTTGTAGTTATAATAATAATAATAATAATAATAATAATATTATAGTCTCGTACAACTCACAGCAACTTACTGTTCGACAGGGACCGCAAACGCTGTTCAAAATGTCGGACGCAACGTGACAGTGAATCGTGTGAAATTTAACTGAAACGGCTGATTTAGACGTAGGCCACGACTGCTCGTGTCTATAATACTATGATTGTGCTTTAACGCTTATTGGAAAGGGGTGAGGAGCACAAATGACGTAATATTTTTATTGTTTAAAACATGAGCATACTGCAAGAAGCTTGTATTTTAATACATTCGTTACTTAAACGGTTTTGATTTTGTATTGATATTTTATCAAAAAAAAAAAAATATTAATTTATCCTTCACAATTTTACTTGTAATAAATCGTGCTTTTATGACAAGAATTCAAGAATTTTCGATAATGATTTAATAACAGAAAGTATGGATTATGTTTAATGGAAACTCCGGGAAAGCAGTGGTTAAATTTATAAAATACATGGAAAAACAATTTTTTTACATACCTCGTCTATGTAAAAAGCAATTAACTTTTGAAAATCTTTTTTATCTGGTTTATAGCCATACACATATAAACAATTGCATTGATATTGATCTACTGGAAATAGTGTGCTGGTTTATAAGTACCAAGATACTCGGAAATGAAAAAGGATTCTCGGTGTTGGGAACCTACATTCCCTTCTAACAAAATTTTTTTATAACTACAACGTATATCCGTATCATGGCATTCGCATGTCTTACTTCCAATTCTCGTATTTATATTTCAAATATAAATTYTCTGTATTAAATTCGTATTGATATTCAATTGAATCAGAGAATTACCTAACCTAACCTAATAATATATTTGCGACAATACAATAAATTGTAAGCCACGTCTTATTGTCGTGTATCGTTAGTTGTTGTCAACAAGCAGGCGTATAAATAACACTTTTTAAAAATAATCCAACACTCGTGTATTGAAATACAACCTTATAAACTTTTAATATAATACCTAATACCTATATTATAACTTTTGTAGTACAATATTTTCAAACAACCCCTATGGTCTTTATCCGGTAGTAGTTTAAGGTTTGCCACACTAATGTCCAACTACATATTTTTGAAGTTCATTTTATCCTTTGAACAGTCAAAAAATAATCAGTTTAAAATTCAACTTAAACATCAAAACAAGCGTAGGTACAATACACTAGAAATAAAAATAATTTACAACAAACAACCCAGCGTCATGTAGTTTTATTTTGATGAAATATGATATCATTTACGACGAGAAATTAATAAAATATTCATTATTATTTAGTTCTATTTAAATTTTAAATACTTAGCATTTTCATATATATATATATATATATATATATATATATATTATATATTTCTATCTATTTATCTGTTTTTCATTCCTCCCTTTATACCCTTTGTACCACATAAAATAATGCCATTTTAATCTCTTGTGCATATTATAGTCTTGATTTTTCTTTTCTTTTTTTTAAAAGCCCTATTTTGTTTGACCAATATTATTTTAAAATGTTTTTCTATTGACTCACGTCCAATTAATTCATTTAATTCTATAATGCTTAAGAGCTTATTTATCTTATACCAAAGACATTAAAGGCAATAATATTTGTGATTTATTAAATAAAATAATAATTCTMCGTAAATATGGAAAAAGGTCATTAAATTATTTTATGTTTGCGCCCACATGCAAGGTTATTCGTAAAACCGATGTTATTAAATATAACTATAAGATGTATTAATTAGGGAGCTTTCAGAATTTGCTGAGCTATAAAATTTGAAGTGTCTAACCAAATTAATAAAAAGTTYGTACTCAGAATTAAATTTTTATTTTCTAAATTATATTTTAGGAAATCATGGTATAACATTGTGTACGAGTATAATGTATACATAATACATAGTGTGAACCATTTAAAATAACACAAATTATTTAAGAAAATATTAACAATTTCTAAAAGATTTCTTAAACATTATTTGACGTCTTTTTTTTTATCGTTTAGAAAAAATATAACATTTACAATTTGTGCAAACTAGCACAATAAGCGAATTCGCAAAACAACATAAACAAAAAAAACATCAATAGAATGTGATAAGGGAAGCAATCCAGTGATAGGACYCCTTTTTTTAGATTCTGAGCGGAGCGATGAGTGTATTGATTTTACCATGATGTGTGTTTTTATTTTTTATTTTTTACCTATATTACTCCACTCATTCAACTCAACATTAAATATTAATTACTTGTAAAAAATTAGATTTTTTCTTCATATGTTCTACCGTACATTACTATTTATCAGGTACTTAAAATAAAAATTAAATATGTACACTGGATTATTATTTTCTTGATCATAATAATATATAATACAAATTTTTTTTAATATTTAAATATTTAATTTATTTTTTGTTTAACAATTGTATAATGTATTGGTTGAAGTATAACATCACATGGTTCCATTTGCATTTTATATTTCAATTTCAATGTTCTATTTCTTTTGCCTCTAGATTTCTGTTTGATCTACAAATGGTCAATTGTTTTAGTGGTCTGAAACAATTTGTTTCCAGGATTTTCATTTTTATTACAAACAGCACTAGGTGAATGTATAGCACTTTTATTGGTAGACAAAGTTGTAGTAGGATAAATCGTTGACAGGTCGAATCGCATTCAGTCTTCGGGGCATATATGTAAACTTAGCAACGTCGAGCGAGTCATCGCATACAAATAGATATATACTATTCAACAAGACATATAGGCGTCTTTATTGAAGCGCCTAAACAGAATAAAAAAATTCCGTATAAAAAATGCGTGCACAAGAAACCCACGACCAATATTTTTTATTACTACTCTATAACAYGTTGTAATACAGAAATCCAGAAGTTGTTGTAAATTCCAYCCAAAGAGTATAATACATAATTTATAAATATGTGTGAATTTATTTTAAACTTCACTGGAAATTTAATCTGTGCACACATATGACATAYGAGTTGGTAAAAAAAATATTATTCTTAGAAAGAGTTTCTGATGATATTCTAGGACTTAAATCTGTACCATCACGTTGGATCCTCCAAACAGTCTATACTCATATATATATACAATATTAAAACAATGGTATGTAAATATAAAAAAAAATCATCTTGACCTTGTGATATCAATATAATTTTCTGCTACGTCTAAAATATTTC